AAAGTGAACTCAGCCTCAACCAAAGCGTGGACAAAGATATCCTTTTGATTCACCTACTGTAGCTTTTCAGACAATAGGCGGGTGGCTAGGTGTGGAAGGTGGGTGTTCGCTGTGAAGGGGGCTTCCACACTCTATCGGGCAGGAAAACACACATCTACACAGATAAGCCCGGTGGAGCTAGTGCTAAAGAAACTTTGTGCCAATGCAGGAGACGTAAGAGACACAGGTTCAATCCCTGGGTGGGGAAGATCCCCTGGAGGAGGGCATGGCAACCCACTCCAGTATTCTTGCCTGGAGCATCCCATGGACAGAGGAGCCTGGCGGGCTACAGTCTACAGAATAGCAAAGATCGCACGTGACTGAACTGACTTAGCATGCAGCACATGGGGCAGAAAAATACACACCTACACAGACAAGCATGCACGCAAACACATCCTATCAAAAATGGAGGTGCCCAGAGGTTTCTCACAGTCCCCCCGTCTTCTGGGTCCTTGCCAGGAGAGTGAAGAGATGCAAGCATTCTTTCAGCCTAATAACCTAGGGGGACTGCTCCTATGGTTACTGTGACCATGCAGTTAGTCTGCAGATTCTACACTCTCGGGCCAGATTCCACACGCTATCTCTTTTCTTGTCTCCTCCTTTGGACTTGGAGAGCCTGGCTCCATCCTGCTGGGAAGCAATTAGCACTGAAGACGTGACAGGCAGCGCAGAAGTAGCAGGGGCCACAGGGTGGGGGCAAAAAGGGGGGAAAAAAAGGAGGAAAGGACGACAGGGGAACTCAATCTAGGAATCTGGAGGGGGCAGCTTGCTCTGGGTGATGCTAACAGAACAGCTCTAAGGGGATGCCAAAGGTCAAGTACTGAGAAGCTGGATTTGCATAGAAACCGAAGCAGTCAAATCTAGAGGCAGGAGAGAGAGCGAGCTGCCCCGCAGACGTTCCTGCAACGAGGCAATGTCCTGCAACCCGCTGTCCGAAGCCGTGGCCATGAGGCACCAGTGGCTGGTGAGCACAGTCAATGTGACTGTGCAACTGTGTGTGTGTGGGGAGGGCGGGGGGCTGGGTTTTTATTTAATTCATTCCGTGTAACTTGAATAACCATATATGTGGCCAGTGACCAGCCATACTGGGCAGTGCAGAGTTGGGCAATTACTCAGGGGCTCCGCCTCTTTTGTGAACATTCTAGCAAGTTGATGCCAAGACATGAATCCCAAGGGGCTTCCCTGGTGGCTTAGATGGTAAAGGATTATTATCAGAACTCCCCCAGCAGAGGGCATGGTGAGCAAAGGCTAGGAAAGCAGATGCAGTTGACCCTCCATTTTTCTTCTGTGACCTTGGGCAACACACTGAATCAATATCGTCCTTTGTTTCCTAATTTGCCTAGATGGTATTAACACAATCCATTCCTCTGAGTGTCCTGATGATTAAATTAAGCAAGTTTGCCAAACATTATAATAGTGATTTCCCCGGCTTTGGCTATTTCTGGTGTTTTGTTGTTGTTGTTTAGTCGCTAAGCTGTGTCTGAATCTTTTGGGACCCCATGGACTGTAGCCCACCAGGCTTCTCTTGTCCATGGATTTCCCAGCAAGAATACTGAAGTGGGCTGCCATTTCTTTCTCTGGGGGATCTTCCCGACCCAGGGATTGAACCTGCGTCTCTTGCATCACAGGTGGATTCTTTACCACTGAACCAGTGGGGAAGGCCCACTTCTGGTGTTCAGTCATACAGCCAATTTATCTCAGGGTCAATAGAGGCTTAAATATAACAAAAATAAAGATAATTATAACAATAGAACAACAATAATAGTAAAATCAGTTAGCAGTTCATTTTATAGTGTCTGCACCAGCCAAGCAGCTTTGCTCTAACAAAGGAGTCAGATGTAATGGCTAAAAGGAAAAAGGTGTTTATTTCTCTCCTATATTCCTGCCCTGAGTTGAGCAATTCAGGGTGATGAGGTCGTTCAGCTGCAGGACACCCTTGGAGTCCTCCATGTCCCCCCTGTCGGGCTCCCCCAGGACCACCTAGGGCAGAGGAACTGCAGCTCAAGCCCAGGCTGCTGCCTGCGTCTGTGTACAGAAGCTCACTGGGACGCAACCACACCCAAGTGTACACATGTTATCTAGGGCTGCTTTGAGGCTGCAAGCACAGAGATGGGAACTGCAGAGACTTCAGGCCTATGAAGTGTGAAATATTTGCTATTTGATCCTTTAGAGACGGTGCTGGCAAGCCCTGACCTAGAGTGCTGTGGTCATGGGCACCCTCGGGGCTGGGGCACAGGCTTGCTCTTGTGCCAGGGAGGGTACAAGTCAGTGGTCTTTTAGGAGAGGCGGGAGGTGTACATGTCACTTTCCCTCCCTATTCCATTCTTTTCTTTTTTTTATTCATTCAACAAATATTTGAACACAAGTTTGTGCCAGCCACAACTCCAGCTCCTTGAAAACAACATTGGTGAACACTGGGTCACATGACAACCTCCAACCACTAGAAGACTCAGAAAAAAAAAACAAAAACATAGACTCTGGGTGAGTCTACGTGGCCCGCCTAAGTTCATTATTATTAGCTGACCACTTTGTAACTACAAAGTGTTACCTGGCAATGAGATCACGTGATCAAGGGAAAAACAGGGAACGACTAGCCCTGGAGAAGAACCAGGATGGAAAGCAAGATAGTCAAAAAGAATATTTCATATGATTCAGTTCAGATCAGTTCAGTCTCTCAGTCGTGTCTGACTCTTTGCGACCCCATGGACTGCAACACGCCAGGCCTCCCTGTCCATCACCAACTCCTGGAGTTTACTCAAACTCATGTCCATTGAGTCAGTGATTCCATCCAACCATCTCATACTCTGTTGTCCCCTTCTCCTCCCGCCTTCAATCTTTCCCAGCATCAGGGTCTTTTCAAATGAGTCAGTTCTTCACATCAGGTGGCCAAAGTATTGGAGTTTCAGCTTCAGCATCAGTGTTTCCAATGATTTCCTTTAGTATGGACTGGTTGGATCTCCTTGCAGTCCAAGAGTCTTCTCTTGGACTTATCTTCTCAAGAGTCTTCTCCAACACCACAGTTCAAAAGCTATAATAGAAGACTGGATTTCTTAACTAATAAATGTTTATCAAACTTCTGCTATATGCTCTGCTTTGGGAATACAGTGTTGAAAAAGCCAGGTGGTCTCTATGGGTTTTGGAATACAGCAACCTAATTAATATCTGAGAAGACAGAGTGTAATGTCCATGTTCTAAGACTTACTTTATACAGGGAAGAGCACCTACTGCTCTTGAGCAGTAAGTTTCCTCCTGAGTGAGAAATCAACTTTATATTTACACAAGCTTACATTTGCTTCATCAGTTTCTTTTCTCTTAAGTCTGAACTGGCACATTTATTCTTTTAAAGGCAAGAAATAAAATTCTAAACACAGATAATGTCTACATGTGATTTCCCATAAAAAACTTATAATCTAATTAATATTTTGGAAATAGTATATCCTATCTACTGTTTCAGAGAAGCATTCCACTAAATTTATAATTTTGTAAGGATTTGGTCCTGACTGCCTAAGTCGCTTCAGTTGTGTTCAACTCTTTGAGACCTTATGGACTATAGTCCTCCAGGCTTCTCTGTCCATTGGATTTTCCAGACAAAAATAGACTGACTAGTTTGTGGCTGTACGTGTGTGTACATGCTCAGTCTTGTCTCTTTATGACCCAGTGAACTGTAGCCCACCAAGCTCCTCTGTCCATGGGATTCTCCAGGCAAGAATACTGGAGTGGGTTGCCATTCCTTTCTCCAGAGGATCTTTCCCAACCCAGGGATCAAATCCACATCTCTTGCATCTCCTGCATTAGCAGATGGGTTCTTTACCCGTTGAGCCACCAGGGAAGCCCAGTTTGTGACTACTATGACTATAATTATAGTAGGAACAGAATACCAAAACAACAGTCTAATTGACACAAACCAAGTGTTTTCATTTACAAGTCAATTTTATAAAAAGTGTCCAATTTGATCTTCATGGGAACCACATGATCAATACATGATTTGATAGATTAAGGAGATAGAAAATAAAGATGGGAAACAAAAATCTGATCTCTTAATTCTTCTCCTGATGTGCATCTAATTTGTTTGAAAAATTGAAACTAACAAGAATGAAAGACTAAGAGGGGAATTGTGTATGAAATTGGATCTGGCTACAATAGAATTTGTTGCAATTTGTCTCCCGTGTCTCCTGCATTGCAGGCAGATTCTTTACCTGCTGATGCTACACCATCAGTGAAGCACACTCAAATTGGAGTGCTAAAATATAAGAGGTTTCTGGAGTCCTGTGATAAAGTAAAAAGGATATGGCATGGATCCTGGCACTTGGAAAAAAGAAAGATTTGTGAACATCATTCCATTTATTTACAGACAAATATTTATTAGACATGTATGATATGCTAAGCCCTGTAGCAGCTGGGAGACAATGATGAGCAGAAGCAAAGCTTTTCTACACATGAAGTTTATCCTCAAGACAAACATTTCAGAAGAGACAAAGACAGCCTGTGATGTCGCAGTGGATGAGAACAATAAAACAGAGTAACCAGTTTTGAATTGCTCTAATATGTCTAATACCGAATATTAGAGAAAGTGTGCTTTCCTTTAAAGGGGGGAATTGAGAAACGCGATGATTACGTTAAGAAATGTGGTCCTTTCAATTTTGTCCGGAGTGGGTTTCAGCTAATCGAAGGAGATGCTGGACTTAGGGTAACCTGAAAAAGCAGGAAAGCAAGACAAGGGCACGTGTCGGGTCCAGGCCTGCGGAGGCAGATGCTCTGGAGACGAGCTGAAGCCACACAAGTGGATGGACAGACCTAGAAAGTGATGCAGTGAAGAGGAGACTGATGATCACATTGTTAGCTTTCACACTCGCAGAAAGAAGCAAGGAGAAAGAAGGGAAGAGGAAAGAAAGGAGAGAAGAAAGAAGGAAGAAAAAAAGAAGGAAAAAGGACGGAGAGAAAGGAAAGCAAGGGCGGGAATCCTAGGCAAAGACCGAAACACGGATGACGGCGGAACCAGAGCGGAAAGGGGAGAGGAAGCCGCGCGCCTGGGGGCCGAGAAGGAAGGACTTCACGGGCGAAGCGGAGGTCAGAGGGACGCCGCAGGCCTGTGGGCGCGGAGCGCCGTTTGAGTCAGCCAAACCTAACATACTCGGCTGCAGATCTGGGAGTGCGGTGGGAGGTGGAGCAGGGATTTCAGAGGGCAGGATGGTCAACGTGGAGGTAAAGTTCAGGGCCGGCGGACACCGGCCGATGAAGGATCGACAGTGCAAGGTGCTCAAAGACGTACTAGGGTAAAGTGAAGAGGCTATCGAGGACCTGCGCGTTACTGAAACATAGAAACAGACAGACAAATCCATGCAGGGGCTAGAAAATTATAGAAAGAGGACGAGTCTATAAATGGGGAAGAGATGAGTCCGATGGAGCTTTAACAATTAGGCAGAACCTGGCATTTCAAGCCATTTTATTCTAAAAATAGATCACCGGAATCTATTCGAACATAATCGTTAGTAGTTTTTATTTGCATTTACTTGTTTTAGGTTCTGAGTAAGGGAGCGGGTCAGTTCTCAGACCACTAGGCACTGCAGTGACGTTCCCAAGCAACGTTTTCCAGTTGACGTGTAAATGTACTTATCTGTGTCCTCCCCAGGTGACTATCTAACCCCCTCAATATTTTTTCCACCAGGTGGCAATGCCCCCTTACTATTGACGAACTGAAAACTCAGCATGATGAGAACTGTGAATAATCTGGATTTCTGAAAAGACATTCTGACAACTGTCTTTGTTTAGAAAGTTGACATTTTCATCAGAGGTGCCTCCTGGAAAATCCATTACAGATTCCCAAACTGCTGATTACACACGACCTGAGCAGAATTCTAAGGGTGGGTGACAGAGTGCTTTAGGTCAAAAGGAGGTCACACCTAATGTCTCGAGCTAAAGTGAATTCATCTAGAAAGAAGGGGGGGGGAAAGTTTCATAATCTGGAATTTGAGGGGTACTGGGAAAAATAATAGAATTTCTGAGATAGTCTTAAGAAAGAAATGGTGGCTGAAATAAGAAAGAATGCAAAATGAGTGAGGAAGAGAAAGATTACGGACTGATTAATCTCTCTATGTATGCCTGTGTCTTCAGTTGTGGACTGCAGCCCTCCAGGCTCCTCTGTCCATGAGATTCTTCAGGCAAGAAGACTGGAGGGGTTTGCCGTTCCCCCATCCAGGGGAACTTCCCGACCCAGGGACCGAGCCACACCTCCTGCATCTCCTGCATTGCAGATGGCTTCTTCACTGCTGAACCCCAGGGAAGCAGATCCCTCTCTGTTAGCCATCAATACATCATGTTTGATAAATGGATGGAAGGAGAGTAAACAGAGGCGCTTATAAAATGCTCTTAGTGCCCAGTGCTCCAGAAGTTGTTGAAAGCAGGAAAGGAAACATTAAGAAAAAAATTCAAGTTTAGAGTACAGAACATGACAAGGGTCAGCAAACCGTGCTGCCCAGCCCACGTCTGGCCTCTGACTCATCTTTGCAAACGAAGTTTTGTCCCAACAGCCACTCTCGCTCATTTGCATATCGTCTCTAGCCGCTTCCACACCTTATAACAGCAGATGTACGTCTTTTCGACAGAGATGTTCTAACTGGCCATCCCCTAAAATGCTATTTGGCTCCTGACAGTAAAGTCTGTTGATCCCAGAGCAGTGTTTAAAAGCATGAGTTTTGGAACCAGATAAATCTCAGTCCCAGTTCTAATCCTTAATAGCTGTTGGACTCTGAACAAATTTTAAGGATTAAAGCAAGTTTTGAAACTGCTTCGCTCGCTGCTGGTGCATAGACATTATGTTCCCATCTTTCTCTCACTAAGTTAATGAGAAGTTGAGACAATCTCATCGACCCCCACCAGCCCCTAAACACAAAAACCAAACTCCTTTGTCCTTTATAGAATGAGGAAGCAAACTTTGTCCCCTTTATTCCCGTGCAGCTGTTTTCTCCTAGTAACCCCTCTCTGCTTCTTTCTTTTATTTTTCAGCACACACGTGTAATGGTCACTGTTGTCTCATCTCTCAGTCGTGTCCGACTCTTTGCAACCCCACAGACTATAGCCCACCAGGCCCCTTCATCCATGGGATCCTCCAGGCAAGAACACTGGACTGGGTTGCCATTTCCTTCTCCAGGGCATCTTTCAAGCCCAGGGATGCAACCCATGTATCCTGTTTTGCAGGTGGATTCTTTACCACTGAGCCGCCAGGGAAGCCCTCTGATGATGATACAAAGCAAATAAAACGCGTGTCACGTGCCCGCGGGCATCCAGGTCCCCTCACAGCCCCCACCAAAGGCCTGGGTCCCAACTCTTCAAAATGCAACGGTAAGGAAAAGTGGAGAGGACGTAGGGCATGTGTTCAGAGATGACCCTGAGTGCTCTGACACGGGATACCTCCAGTCCGAATCTGGCTTACAGATCCTGTAAAGGTGATTTGGATGGTTTTCATCCTAGTTGCTAACGAATCCAGGGCTCAGCAGGCCAGTTAAGTCCTTTGGCAAATGCCTATAGGAGAAATGTCTAAATGTAAACTGTGAATCACTGGAAATGGGAACTCTGTCAAAATAAGGGAATTAAGTTCATTAAAGGTGTGGTAGCTTAATTTTCTGTGCCAGCCCATAATGATCAGGGCTGGCACTAAATGCTCAACTAGCACAAACCCACCCAAACTTGGCAGGAGAAATGACCCCAGTCAACCAAGCCGCCTGGCTTTCCCTTTGGGTTAAATGTGCTCAAATTAGTAAAAAGTGGGGTTGGACTCTGCCCTTTTCTGTCTTCTAGATTGTGCTGTACTGTATCAACACCAGAAGGACAAAAAGCCAAGGAGACTCCGCTCGGGGGGCAGTGTAGCTGACATCTTCAGGTGGGAAAAGTGGTCTCTAACCCAGGAAGCATATTAAAAAGCAGAGACATTACTTTGCTGACAAAGGTCCATCTAGTCAAGGCTATGGTTTTTCCAGTGGTCATGTATGGATGTGAGAGTTGGACCATAAAGGAAGCTGAGTGCCAAAGAATTGATGCTTTTGAACTGTGGTGTTGGAGAAGACTCTTGAGAGTCCCTTGGACTGCAAGGAGATCCAACCAGTCCATCCTAAAGGAAATCAGTCCTGAATATTCATTGGAAGGACTGATGCTGAAGTTGAAGCTCTAATACTTTAGCCACTTGATGTGAAGAGCCCACTCATTAGAAAAGACCCTGATGATGGGAAAGATTGAAGGTGAGAGAAGGGGATGGCAGAGGATGAGATGGTTGGATGGCATCAGCGACTTGATGGACGTGAGTTTGAGCAAGCTTGGGGAGATGGTGAAGGACAGGGAAGCCTGGTGTGCTGAAGTCCATGGGGTCGCAAAGAGTTGGACACGACTGAGCAACTGAACTGAACTGAACTGAAGATTTCTACAACAGATCCTGCTATTTTCTTGTTCTTCTTGATCTAGCATACTCATAAACTACAAATAAAATAAAAATCTTTACCATATTTTCTCAGGGAACCTTTAAAATCTTCAGTGAGGGAAACATCGAGTATGGCTAAAAAGAACACAAAAAGAACTGTATTATTGAATATGTGCAAGATCTTGTTCTAAGATCTTTCTCTAGAGGAGCCCAATCTTCAGGAACCTCATGAAGTACTTCTTCCTGATGGTCTCTGTAGACAGATGAAAAAACTAAGATAAGAAGCAGTTAAATAATGTGGTCCTAGTGCCCAGCTGCTTAATTCTGGGCCCCACATCCCAGCTGGGGCAGTTTGACTCTGTGCATTGAGGCAGAAAAACGTGCCATAGAAAATTCATCAGTGCATACTTGACAGTGATCTCATGACCTGGGGTACTGGGCTTTTTCCCCCCTTTTTCCTTAGTAGAAGAGTAAATTAACGCTCAGTACAAAACCCCCAGAAAAGCTGGGAAAACCATAGGGGTGTGCATGGACACCACCTAAATGACTAGTGAGTTCACAACCCAGACAGCTCTTAACATATTAGACCCATGAGTGTCATTTAGTTTTTCTTTACACACACACACACACACACAGACACATATATATACACATAGTTACAATATGAACATTGCATTGTAGCTGCCTTTTTATTTGTCAACATAATCCCAACCCAGCCTCATGGCTGTAGATGTAAATCAGACGTGCAGTCTCTGGTTCACAGGTAAGTGCCGCCTTCATCTCTACTGCAAAGAAGGCTTTATTGCAGCACGGCCATGTGTCTGTTTAGTTGCTTAGTCATGTCGGACTCTCTGCAACTCCACAGACTATTGCCCACCAGCCTCCTCTGTCCACGGGATTTCCCAGGCAAGAATACAGGGTGCCATTTTCTTCTCCAGAGGATCTTCCAGACCCAAGAATCGATCCTGACTCTTTTGCTGTCTCCTGCATTGGCAAATTAATTCTTTACCACTAGCGCCACCTGGGAAACCCACTTTCATCTCTGTGTATGTGTGGTCTATAGCTGCTTTCGGGAACTATGTTGGCAGAGTTCATAACTGTAACAGAGACTCTGACCCACACATACCAAAACATTTACCATCTTGCCAACTCCTGACCAACCTGTTGCTTTCCAATAACTGTTCTAATATGGCTGTAAACAAAACCCTACAGTTGTATTTAAGTAAATCAGGGTGTGGCATACTTTTAAGGTCCTTCCAGTCAAAGCTATGGTGTTCCAATAGTCATGTATGGATGTGAGAGTTGGACCATAAAGAAAGCTGATCACTGAAGAATTGATGCTTTTGAACTGTGGGTTGGAGAAGACTCTCGAGAATTCCTTGGATTGCAAGGAGATCAAATGAGTCAATCCTAAAGGAAATCAGTCCTGAATATTAATTGGAAGGACTGATGCTGAAACTCCAATACTTTGACTACCTGATGCAAAGAGCTGACTCATTGGAAAACACCCTGATGCTGGGAAAGATTGAGGGCAGGAGGAGAAGGGGATGACAAAGGGTGAGATGGTTGGATGGCATCACCGACTCAATGGACATGAATTTGAACAAGCTCCAGGAGTTGGTGATGGACAGGGAAGCCTGGTGTGCTGCAGTCCATATGGTCGCAAAGAGTTGGATATGACTGACTGGCTGAACTGGACTGATACTTTTAATCTCTTCATGGAATAACAAAACTTCCCGATGTTTGAGAAAAGAAAAAATTGAGCCAATATTTCCTTTAATTCAATAAAAAATGCATTCATTAAAGCAGTTACTTATCATGGGCTTCCTGAAAAAAAAAAACAATGTATAGGGTAAACCTGTAATTTATCATCTGAATTATAAATCATATAGGACAACAGT